CCCGGATGCGAAGCTTCGAACTCTGCATTCTTGGGGTTTGGGGTTTAGGGTTTAGGGTTTAGGGTTTAGGGTTTAGTTTAGGGTTTAAGGTTTAGGGTTTAGTTTAGGGTTTAAGGTTTAGGGTTTAGTTTCGGGATCTGCGGAACTATACTGGATACTATTACCTCATATCCTGACCTCCACATTATCGGGCTTTTGGGGTTAGGGTTTTAGGTTTAGGGTTTAGGGTTTAGGGTTTAGGGTTTAGGTAGGTTTTACGGTTTAGGACTCCAGGACATGTTGGGCTCCCCCTTGTCTGCATTTCCTGGCACTAACGACTCTTTGGTTTCCGGGACTTGGCTCTCTTAGAAGCTCCCTTTCTCCTCTTAGTAAGCTTCGCAGACGACTCTGCGGTGCTTCGTCGGCTAAGTTCTCGTGCGTTCGAGAGGTGGTGCACCCCTTCGACTCCAACTCTCGGCGCGAGGCGCTACCTCCGGGATCCCAAAAACATCAAACCCCTAACCCACCCACCCATCCCCTCAACAAACAAGGCTCGGACAAAGCATTGAATAGCTGTAACCCCGCCCCTCCAAACCCTGAAAGCTAACCCCAAACCCGAAACCCCAAACCCTTCAACCCCCAACCAAAAACAAAAACAACAAAAGCTGCCGGCTGACCATCCCACCCTCGGCCGTGTCATCCATCTCAAGGAGGCCCTGCTTCACCTAAATGGCCAGGATTTAGGGATTTAGGGTTTAGGCTTTACCTAGGGGTTGCGAGACAATAGGCCTTTAGGGTTTTCGGGCTTGGGGCTCAGGGAGATTAGCTTTCCAGGAGTTACAGCGAGGTTTGGGTTGGGGCTTACGGTGTATAGGCTTTAGGGTTAGGGCTTGAGGTTTGGGGCTTAAGGTTTGGGGTTTAGAGTTGGAGGGTTTAAGGTTTCCGGCGGGGTGTATATGAAGGTCTATACTAGTAGGCCTCAGCCTCATGATTCATATCGTAAGGCGTCTATGCGCGCGATTGAAGGGCTTTTTTTCGGGTATAATAGTGGGCTTTGCTTTGCGATTGTTAAAGACTCTGAACCCCCAACCCCCAAACTCCCTAAACCCTAAAACCCCAACCCCAAAACTCCCAAACCAAGCGCTGAACGCGAAGCAAGGGTTTAGGGTTTAGGGTTTAAGGGTTTAGGGTTTCCTCCAGGGACTCCTCTATGGACCTGAATGGTGGTTGGTATGAGCAGACCCCGCGCTAGCTCTCCCAAGCCCTGCTCCAACACATGAAGCTCCCCACCATCATTGTAGGGTTAAGGATTTAGGGTTTAGGGTTTAGGGTTTATGGTACTACGAATACACACGAATAGCAATATCTATCGTGAACAACATGTAATAAGGCCTCCTCATTGCTCTTGGGTTTCGTAGCCTCTGTTCGGAGCCAGAGGTGACGATTCCTAATCCACTAGAGCACAGGGTTGCATGGTTTACAGGTGCTTGGAGGGTCTAGGGCCCAGTTACAGTGGAACCCTAAACCCTAAACCCTAAACCGTGTGGGCCAGGGGTTTGGGGTTTGGGGGGGTTCGTGGTTCAGATTTTGCGTCAAGCGGAACTGGGGCTCCAGGCAGAAGCCCTGAAAGAAAAAACCTGCGAAAACTCAACCTGGGACCCGGTCGTGTCCTTGCCGGCCGACATACTGAGACTCTGGTTCTGGAGGGTTTTAGGGCTTAGGGTTTTAGGGCTTAGGGTTTTTTTATGGTTTAGGGTTTTAGGGTTNNAGGGTTTAGGGTTTAGGGGGCTGATACAGTGTCACAGAGGGCAATCTATTGCAAACCACCTGATTGTGATCGCTTTCGAAAGCGTGCAAAATTCAAGCATTCGGAAACAAGACCCAACACAAGCAGACAGCCCTGAAGCGTAAGCCGCAAATTACCCTAAAGCCTAAACCCTAAACCCCTAAACCCTAAACCCTAAACCCCTAAACCCTAAACCCCTAAACCCTAAACCCTAAACCCTAAACCCCTAAACCCTCAACCCCTAAACCCCTAAACCCTCAAACCTGAA